AATGTTCATAAAAATGTTTCTGAAGGTCACTGTCCTTCTGTGAAGTTTTCGAAGTTTTTCAAAATTTATGGAACTTTTGTGCTTCCGCAGTTTTCATGGAATTAGAACGAAATAGTTAATATAGTTTTATGATTTCCACTGAAGTTCTCATGATTTTTCTGGAGTTCATGAAACTTCCATTAAATTATCGACACTAATTTAAAACTTCTTCAATAATCTAGTTCTGGTGTTATTAAAACTACCTAAACGATTATTGAATTTCTTTAAAGTTCTCTAGACATCCCTGAATTATTCAGTATATTTTAAGAACCTGCAATTTTACTTAAATTAATTGATTTGTCTTGAAGTTTCTATAATTTTCCTTAAGTATTCTTACAATTAAAATCTCTCACTTATTTTCCCTGAACTATGCTTACCTGAAATTCTCTAAATTTGTTTAATAATCTGGCAAATTTTCTGATATATATATATTCAAAATTCCCTGACGTTTTTGGATGAATCATAGAATTCTTAGAATACCCCATAATTCCACGGAATTCCTTGTAAGTCGCTGTAAATTTGCTTAAGTTAATGGGATTATTCTGAAGCTATCTGTTCGGAACTTCACTGAAACTGAATGAAACTATCTAAATTCTAAGTTCTCTGGAGTTTCTTGAAGATATTTATCGCTGCTTACTAAAAGTTCTCACATTTTTTTAGATTTATGGAACTTCGTTGATATTTTCTAATCAACTAAGTTAAATTTTCGTATTTTTTAAAGTTCTTGATATCTCCATGATATAACACCCAATACTCTCACGTTTTTCGGATGTTCATACAATTTTTAATACGTTCTAGAAGTTCTATCGGAGCTTTGCTGAAGTTTCCGGAAATTCCTTAAGGTTTCTACAATTTTCTTAAAATTATTTGAATTGTCCTTTGATTATCTGATCTGTCTTGATGTTCTCGAAGCTTCCCTAAAGCTCTCATTTTTTTTGAAGATTAATTTCCCTGAAATTCTTTGGACTTCTGTGAAGTTCCTGAAATATTTCTGAAGGTTTCATAAATTCTTTGATGGTCTCTGTACTCTGTGGTTCCCATAGTAATTTCCATATAAACTTCAAATGGTTTGTGCCAAGTTAGTTTCTTATCGAATGAGTTCAAATTTTGAGAGGCTAGTCAGGACCCGATTTTGAACCGTATGAGCACTGTGGAGCGAAAATGTCAAAATTTGCATCAGTCTACTGTACATCCCTGAAATCCTCGGAACATCTTAAGGGTTCTCAATTTTTCTAAATTTACGATTATAGATATTTAAACTGCTCCAAAAGGTCTGAACTAAAGTCATGGGATCTGCTCTTAAGATCTGAAATTCCCCAAAAGTCTCTAGATATAGCTTTTCTGAGGTGCTTAGAACTGCGTAAAAAATATTACATCATATATTTCTATATTTCTCATGTTCGCTTAACACCTGTGATGTGCTCTGAAATTCTATGAGCTTCATAAAAGTTCCTAAAAATTTTCGGATGTTAAAAGAACCGATTTGAGGATCTTAGAGCTTCCAGTAATCTCCCAATAAGTTCAGTGTGTTAACTTCCCTTATGTTACCGTAGTTTGTTTATGGAGGTTTACTAACATTCTCAGCATTTCCTTTCATTTCTCAGAACTGCTTCAAAGTTCCTACAATTGTTGTAAAGTTGATGAAACTGCAATGAAGATCTCTAATCTTTCATAAAGTTAATTACGAATTTGAAATAAATCGTTTAAGGTTTTCCTTAATTCAGGCGCTTTGAAAATTTTCAATATATTGAACTTGTACATGGAATACGAACCAACAAGACATTGAATATTTTTAGATCTTGAACTTACTCTAATTAATTAGGTTTTTTTTAACTTTATTAAAGTGAGAAAGTAAGTAAGTGCTATACTTCAACATTCAATGAATTTGATTATAAAGTTATTTCTTTAAAACTGATTGCCATGTCTTAAAAACGTTTAGGTTAATTACTGTTGTTTTTGATCTTCCAGAAAAGCATATTTAGAACGCTTAGCTTTCTTATTATAAGCCTTGAATTTATCCGTTAAAGTTCTGGAAAAACCTGGAAAACTCAAGAAATTTGATTTTGAAAAACTAGTAGACACCCTGTAGATAGAGAAAGACGATTAAACGTCACAAAGCAAAGAATGATCAATCTTGAAATAAATTCACGCTAAGAAAGTTGAAAATAGTGACTGATTACAAGAAAAAGTGACTTTAGTGACTTGACCTTAAAAAAAGAGACTTTTTAGTGACTGGCTTGAAAAAAGTGACCAAGTCACTAAAAAGTGACTCACTACCAGCCCTGCAACTGTGGAACACACACGTCCGACGAGATAAGCTCGAAATGGAGTCGGATTTCACTCAAAATCGTAAAAAGTGGAATTACTCGCTAAGGGAGTAATATTTTTCACGATTAACCTAAAAAATCTGCTCAAATGAGGAAAATCGAGGAAAATTTTATTGATTACAATTTTCTTTGATTTTCCTCATATTTGAGCAGATTTTTGAGAGAAATCAAGGATAATTTTAGCAACCCCAGTTTATACGATTTTTAGTGAAATCCGAAACAATTTTGCAAGATTGCAAATGCTCATTTCTTATAAAAACATATTTTTCGGAATATTGAATTCAAAAGATGTTATGATCACATGATAAGTTACAAGAGGAGGTTGCAAGAGGCGCCGGTAGTGTAGTGGTAAGCGTGATTACTTCTCATCCCAGCAGGCCTGGGTTCAATCCCAGTCGGCACCGCCGGGATGTTCTGAGGCATAACATATCTGATCACGCGTTCCTTCTGAAGAGAAGTAAAGCCGTTGGTCCCCGGTTCATGAGTTGATGGCTCGATATGTAGGGTCCAGGTGTGGGAGCTGCCTCTCTGGCGTCGGTAGCATTGGTACTCAGCACGGAAAACAAGATTGACGAAAAACAAATCAAGGGAAAAAAGAGGAGGTTGCAAGGTATTTGTTTGACACATAATACCTGTCAATTTTGTTTTCTAAGACGAGAATTGCGAGAACTTCAGGATAGTTTCCAAATTATCAAGAAATATCTCAGGGCAGTTGAATTAACTTCACGGAAAGCTCAGAGATTCACAAGGAAATTTAGAGAGCTTCAGAGAAGTTTAAATACTTTTTCTGCTGTTTCAATACTCTGAATATTCGAGTATTTAGAGGACCATCAGAGAACTTCAGAGCAGTTGTATTAATTAATTGTAGGAACTTTTAAGATGTTATAGAAAATTTCAAGAGTTTAAGGCATGTTCCATAAATTTTAAGAAAATAACGGGGTCGTTAGAGAAGTTCCGTGCATATCATGAGAAATGAAGGAATGTTATAGAAGATCCGAGAACTTCTTTAAAATTGGGGATCGTCATGATTGAACGAACACATCAGAAAAGTCCACAGATGATCAGGGAAGTTTAAAGATTGTAAGAGAATTTCCACGAGCTTCAAAAAATTTTCGAAAACTTAATGAAAAAGGTGGGAGCTTCAGCTATCCTGAATCAACTCGTGAAAACTTTTAAAACGTTCTGATAAATTTAGGGAAGTCTAGATAGCTTTATTGAAGTTCAGAGATATTTAGGACAGTTCAAATAAGTCCAGGGTAGCACTGAAAACTTCAGAAAAGTCTGGTCTTTCGGGGAAGTACAATGATCTTTAAGAATTATAATTTTTTTCGTCTTTCAGTCTTCAAGAAACAAAACTGATTACAGTTTTAGCACGGCCAACGTTTCGATCCAGGGGTTTGGGATCTTTATCAGGGCTAGTTTTGGTTTAAAATAATAGAGCATATTGCTCTGCATGAAATATGGTACAACTTTATATCCACTGAAGAAGGCCAAGTCGAACACAAACATCGTAGCGTTTGGTGACGACAATGAAGACGTAGGTGGTGCAAGCTCTGGAATTATTATTTAACTTCATTCATTCAGAGTTGGTTGGAAATGCTATCTAACAGGAAGCTTTAGTGTGATAATTTAATACCTAGAGAATAGTCTTAGAAGATGGTAGGTAGGGGAAATGTCGGCTTCGGCAATACCTTAACCTGTTATCGTCAGAGGAGTCCTGGAGCATTCAAATTTGGCCAATAGATGCTCTGAAACACAATGTATCCACAAACTTTTGTCCGGGAACTTTTTCAACTTTTTCGCGATATTTCGAATTGACCACACCTTCCTCCTAGTACAACAATACTGCACTATTGAGACGAAACTTTCACCACTGAAACACGTGTACTTTCAAAACAAATCGCTGTCAAAACATTCCAAATCCGACAACTAGAGGCGCTGCTACAGAATAAATAAAGTGTCTGGATTCTAAGTGGACCAGACTTTAGGAACATTCGCCTGCTCTCAACTTAATGATGTCAAGACCGGTCTGGGAATCGAATCCGCCGCCTACGGCTTGGAAATACCGTACCTTAACTTACAAGGCCCAAATACCAAATTTCCAGTGGTCAAATTCACAGCTGCAATACGTCTTTTCACATCGTCTCATTCACTGTTCTGCGATCGATGCCAATGATAACGATGTTTCCTAAAAAGTATATTACTCCAGTAGTGCGTTGCTCGTGTCTTTACGAAGCATCCCACTACGGATATGTTATGTCTGGAGCGTACTATAGATGTGAATGTCATTATCTAATACCAAATTGAATACACAAATTCCAATGAATTTAAAATAGTTTTAGCCTGAATCTTAGTGTCTGTCCTGCTAAATGTCTTCAAACAAGTTTCTTTTGACTAGGTACCCCCAAATTTTTTTTTATCAACATAATTTTACCAGACATGTTAGAAGAGTAAGGTAGATTTTGCATTTGCAAACTCCCATTATTCTACTTGAAAAGTTTTGTGCTCATCCTATTCGTTGTCTGTAATGGAGTATATAGTTCAACTTATGGAATTCGTATTAATTATGTATCTAACCCTTTCGAATGCAGTTCTTCAAGAAAATTTACAATAATCTAATACGATAGTACTTACTAGGACCATGGCTGACTGAAAATATAGAAAAGAAGAAAAATGTGTCAATTCGGTAATGAAAATGCAAAATTTGCTAACAGCTAATACACAATATACAGCTAATATACAATTGAGAATACTATTTATAAGTGCTAACACTGCGCACAGACGCGTTTCTCGAAAAACTCTTGTTCATTTCAACACTGAAAAGCTGCAAAATCTTTAAATATTTCATATAGCTAATGATCCCCCTCTTCACCAATCTTCAACTTATCTCAGTTCAACCTTCTTGAGCAGAACATTAATTCCCCTCCACGGTGCCATTAAAATCCATTAACCTCCTCCGGTCGATTGTCACCTCCTCATCTTGTGACCCTCAATCAATTGTGATTAAATTTTCATTTCATCATTCAGAAAACCGAAAACCAGGGTGGCATCTTACTCCACAGACTCGTTTACGGTGTTGGTAATCAAACAATTCCGGTCGACGACGACGACGACGACGACGACAACCATAGAGGAACCGTTTAGCGAATAATGAACCTTTTGAAATTTTTACGACTCCCAGCAACGCCCGGCTAGATGACGGCAATGATTGCAAAAAACCTGTCGGCTCCACCACCATCATTCTTCTTCTTCCAGCCGCCTGTTGAAAAGTAGGATCAGTGCATGGAACAGTGGACGCGTTAATGGTTTCCTCTCGTTTCGAAAATAGATCACTTCCCTGATTGCCAAGTGCCAATGGCTACGCGACAACCAACCACTCACAATACAGTCGGCAACATTGTGCCATTCGTTCGCTTTTCCTACTATCGGGCTTCCTCCTCCTTTTTAATGGATAGAAAAACGGACATTTGCGAATTTTGCAACTGCAGAAACCGATGCAAATTCCCACCCGCCAGCCGGAGGGTGGGCATTCGGAGAAATGCTATTTCTGACCATTGATCTACTATTTTTCTACCTTGCTTACTGAATGCATAAAGTTGCATCCATTATGGAGCAGCCCCCTCACCACCACTTTTCTCCCGCCGCCCGTGTAGTTGTTAAAAGATAAATAAATAAAATTGTGCTTTCGATTAGTGCACTGTTTTCCCCCTCCGACAACTGAAAAGCTGTCAGAGTTGGGAGTGCACACGGTGGGTGGTGACTGTGCGAGAAATCGAATTTACTGATTCTTGCGGATGCTGCGATGCCGGGCAATAAAGGGAAAAATTGAATTCAATTTTGTTGAGTTAAGAAGTTTTTCCAACAAGTGCACTTGTTAGGAAAGTTGTCGCCGGCAAACGAATACAACAGCATTCAAATGTCGGTTGCAAGTCACTAGAATGGTGTTGGGTTTGAGATGATTAGCGGAGAGGGGAAGGGATTTGTTATAATGTTTAATATTTAAATGTGAAAAGTTGAGGAATGATTTGAGAGTTGACTGAGCGGGAAGAGTAATAAAAACAAGCCTTGAAGTAGAGTTTCTAGAACAGTTCGATGTGATTCAAAGATTCCCTGAAGGATGTTTCACGTCGACGTGAGCCATGGCTGGTGAAACAGGGTGGCAACTGAATTTCCATTCCAAAATACCAGACACCAAATGAAATGTGATGAAAGGCAATAAACGCATAACTATAGAAATGGCATGAGCATGAAAAACTAATAAAGTCATCATTTTTTTTTCCTACCTCTTCCGGAATGTCCTCTTTTGTTTCTCGGAAAATTTAACAGACTATCTTCCGGTTTTTTTTTCATTTCCCTCATAAATATTATTTAGTTTCCCCTGAAAAATTACCCTCGAAAGTTTTTCTGACTTCACCCCAAAGATTCTGCCGTGCTATCTACCTACCAAGAGCTGACTTTCCCCGGAATTCTCTTCTAACTTCCCCTAGAAGATTCTCCCGATTTCTCCACAAAGTTTCTCCCGCATTCCACCCGAATTCTTTCTTGCATAGCCCGCAGTATCTACCTACTGATTCGCAGTCGGAACATTTTTCCGGCTTTTCCTAGAAGTTTCTTCTGGCTTCTCTTGAAAATCCTTTTGGCTTACACAAGAAGATTCTTCTGACATTCTCCAGAAGTTTCTTCGAACCTAATCCAGGATGTTTCATCCAGCTTTCATTTTCTCTAGGATGCTTTTCTTACTGCCACAGTAATTTTCTTTTAAGCCATCCACGATTTGCTATGGAATCTCCAATATGTTTTATGTCACTACTACTCAAAGTTCCTTTTCCCAGGAAGTATATTTTCATTTCCCTCTGAAGATTCATTCGACTTCTGCTGAAACTGCAATCCGAATTCCGCCAGTAGTTGACCAGGCTTCTCTTGAAAGTTTCTACCGACTTCCCCCAAAAGAGCTTCTACCTTCCACTGGAGTTACCATATGTGTTATCCGTATTTCCAGGAAATTTATTCCAACTTCACTTCCTTCGAATTTTGATTGGATTTGTGTTCCGATTTCTACCGGAAGATTCTTCAATTTTTTTTATTATGGTAACTTAACTCTGGTGTTAACTCTTAGGTCATTCGTGATTTGTCCGGGGATGAGATTTGAACTCGTGACATTGGCGTGAAAGGTATGAATGCTATGCACTACGACGGGGCCATCCCCATTCTTTCAATTCGCTCACTTGATATTTCATCTTCCCGCAGAACCTTCTTAAAAAAGATCTTCCGACAACCTTCCGAAACATGAACAAATTGCACAGAAATGGTGTCCCATGTGGTGTATTACATTTTTTTATATAAAGCATGAATTAAAAAAAAATACATCCGTCTTACGAAAAACCAAACCACTTCTCATGATCTAATCTCCGAGGTTGTTTGAAGAACCTAGGACGTCTCATTGACATTGCTTTGTTTCCTAAATGATGTATCCTAGACCTGAACCGGACTGGATATTTTTCGAAAGTATAAGACTTCGCTGATCATGTAGATCTTCATATATATGAATTCCGGAATATATTGGATTGGCTTTGTTATGTTTTTTTTTTTATTAATTACTTTATTTGTACAGGCTCAATCGAATAAACTTTACAGAGCCGAGTTATCATTTTTGTTATACATTATTGATTTCTTATATTTAAAGTTAAAGGAGCTGGACCGGATACTCGCGGTTGTCTCGAGGTTAGTGGGGATTTACAATTTTTTTGGATGGGAAAAGGGAAAGGGAGGTTTGAAATGTGGTTTACGATACAAATATTTAATTAATCCTAAAACATGAACTAATTTCTATTCATCTTGAAAACAAACATAAAAAAACCCACACGTACAAAATACAAACTAAACACAAGGTTAATAAAACTTACAATCTACTGTTAATATTCTTAAAGTAAACATATATGAGTTTCATAAACTCCAGATCGCGTCTAGCCAAAATATCCCGAACTGGAACATTAGGTTGTCTACCTCGAGCCCGAAGGGAATCATAAAAATGTGATCTGACTCCACGATACTCCACACAAGACCAAAGGATGTGATCAGCGTCCTGGTAACCTTGTCCACATTCACAGAGATTGCTGTCCTTCAGCCCAACACGAAACAAGTGAGCGTTTAACGAGTAGTGATTGGACATGAGGCGAGACATCATACGAATGAAGTCTCGACCCACATCCAACCCCTTGAACCAAGAACTCTTCGACACCTTAGGGATGATCGAATATAGCCATCGTCCCAAACTCCCTTCACTCCACTTATTCTGCCAGCTGACGAGTGACTGTTGACGATAAATGAAGAAAAATTAATCGTAGGCGATTTGTCGATCGTAAATATCGCCTTCCATAGCGCCCACCTTAGCAAGTGAGTCAGCCATCTCATTGCCCGGAATCGAGCAATGAGATGGGACCCATGCAAAGGTGATGACAAAAGATCTTAAAGATAAAGCACTTAAAAGCTCTCGTATTTTCATGAGAAAATACGAGGAGTGCTTTACCGGCCTCATAGAGCGAATAGCCTCGACAGAGCTGAGACTATCCGTAAAAATAAAATAATGATCTGGTGCAAGTGAGGCGATCGTTTCTAGCGTATAATGTATTGCCGCCAGCTCAGCAACATATACGGAACAAGGAGCTTGAAGCATTCGAGAGGCGCTATGAAATTCGTTAAAAATACCAAAACCAGCGGACGACTCTATTAGTGATCCATCTGTGAAGAACGATCTTGCGGAATCAACTTGGCCAAACTTTGCAGCGAAAATTGACGGAGCAATCATGGAACGATGATGCTCTGGGATTCCGCGAATCTCTTGCGTCATTGATAAATCAAAACTAACTGAATTGCCGAAGTCGGAGAAGCATACACGATGAGGATTATGCTGTGAAGGGCTGACATCCTGTGTTATGTACACGTAGTACAATGACATAAAACGAGTTTGAGGGTTCAGCTCAAGAAGCTTTTCAAAGTTTTCGATTACCAGTGGGTTCATAACTTCGCAACGGGTGAGGAGCCTGAGGGACAATTCCGAGAACCGATCCGATAGTGGCAACATGCCCGCCAACACTTCTAGACTCATCGTATGAGTCGAGTGCATGCATCCTAACGCGATACGAAGACAACGATACTGGATACGTTCCAGTTTGATGATGTGAGTTTTAGCCGCCGACTGGAAACAAAAACTACCGTATTCTAAAACCGATAAAATCGTTGTCCGGTACAACGTTAGAAGATCTTGCGGATGGGCTCCCCACCACGTTCCGGTAATTGTTCGGAGAAAATTGATCCTTTGTTGGCATTTTCGTCTCAGATACTCAATGTGGGATCTCCAGGTGCATTTTGAATCGAACCAGACCCCAAGATATTTGAAGGACATAGAATGAGTGATCGGTTTACCCAAAAGTTGAAGCTTTGGTTGTGCTGGGCTATGCTTCCTAGAAAAAACGACCAACTCAGTTTTCTCCGTGGAGAATTCGATACCTAGCTGAATAGCCCAAGTAGACAAATTGTCTAAGGTATCCTGTAAGGGTCCTTGCAGGTCGACCCCTTTGGGCCCTGTCATAGACACTACGCCGTCATCTGCAAGTTGTCTCAACGTGCAGTTGTCACTTAGACAATTGTCA